CTCACTCTCACTCTCTCTCACTCTCACTCACTCACTCTCACTCTCACTCACTCACACACACACACACACACACACACACACACACACACACACACACACACACACACACACACACACACACACACCCTCTCCTCTCGCGCGCACTCTCTCACACAACACTCCACCTTACCCTACAATAAACCTCCCCCCCGACACACACCTCCCCCACCGACAAAGGCTGTTCTCTCAGGTATCTCCCACACTGACCTCCATCACCCCTCACCGAGACTCAAATTGTAGGGACTCACAGGTTGGAGACTTGGGAGGGGGCTTGGTTTCAGGAGATGGGGGACAGGGTAGAGGGAGCTTTACTCTGTATCTAACCCCGTGCTGTCCCTATCCTGGGGGACAGTGTAGAGGGAGATTTACTTCCACAAATTATTGTGAATGTTTTTTCTTTCAGATGATTTTCCAGCAGGATAATCCCGGAATTCACTATCAATTTGTTCTCCCTGGGGCGAAGCCTGCTCCTCCCCAGCCAAACCCTGACCCTCCCAGCCAGACTCACAGTAAGGAACAGCACATAATGACACATGATATCATCGGGGAGGTGTATGTGTTAGCGCTCAGCTGTATCTGCGTGCACGCTCTGTCCTCACCTTAACTCTGCAATAATGTGCCCGAGCCCCACCCAAACTGGAGCTCAGTTCGCACGCTGCGCTGTCGGAGGGTTGGCGCCGAGGGAGCGCTGCGCTGTCGGAGGGTTGGCGCCGAGGGAGCGCTGCGCTGTCGGAGGGTCGGCGCCGAGTGAGCACCACATGATGATGAGTGTGTGACAGATGGAAGCTGGCTTGGGTTGCCTTGTGGTTACTCTGTTGTCTCTCATTACCCGTTGGTCACTGTTTGACTTGGTTCTGCTTCCCACCACTCCCTGTCCTCCTCCCACTCCTTCCCCCCACGACAACACCTCCCCCTCCCAAGGATCCCAGGGTACCGGAGACCTGAGGGATGTGTCAGCATTGGCAAGTCACCCAGCTGTTAGTCACCGCGGTTCGCACCGTGCCATCCCCACCCCACCCAGGGTCCGCAGCGGCCAACGCGACCGCCGCCTACAGGTCTACCAAACCGACGCACAGGAGGATCCCGCACTGGCTCCACCAGTGTACCGCTGGACGTCCCAGAGCCTGACCGAGTGTTCTGTCTCCTGTGGGAAAGGTGTGTGTGGGGGAACAGGGTTTTTGGGAGGCTATGGGGTTATTGCTGGAGAGCGAGGTACTTTCTTTAAGATGTTTGTCATCAGGACACCTGGCAAGAGTGCCAAGCATAACTGGAGAAGAAAATAGTGCTGATGGGCTGCCAAGCTGACATGGATTGGGCCTTGGCGTCTTTATGGGGGAAGTGATGACTTGCTGATTAATGGGCACCCCTCCTCTTTTCCCAAGGAGTGTGCGTCGCTGCAATTTTCTGAAATCTGGCACTCTTACTGTGGTGTCCTAACAAGTGTGAGCCGGAAATGTGCCTCCCTTATTCGGGCAGGGTCTTGAATGGGATCTGTGGAACGCCTTCCTGTCAGGTGGTGGGGAAATGATGGTGGAGTCGGGAATGGCTAACACGGGGGCATCCCCATGGTGAGAAGTGGGGGTATAGTGCAGGTAGATCCTTAGAGTATTGGGATGGAGTTGTAGGCAATTGAATACAAAACCCCTCTCTCTCTCTCACTCTCACTCTGTGTCTGTAGGGTTCCAGTACCCCATCTTCCGCTGCCTGTCCCAGGACACCCAGGAGTTAGTGTCGGAAGCTCTTTGTGACCCAGCATCCAAACCAGCAATCGTGGCTCAGTCCTGTAACACCCAGCCCTGTCCTGCTTTGTAAGTATTCGCAAGCCGTTTTGAGGTCACCTTGAGCCCCCCACCTTGAACATCCTACCGGCTGCCAAAGGCGCGCGCTCTCTCTCTCTCTCGCGCTCTGTCTCTCACACCATAGGCCCAACGCATCGTCTGAGCTGGGCTCCCTTGCCAGACCTCCCGGAGAGACCAATGACTGTAGGTGTTTATACCAAGCCACCCAGCCTGGGTCTCGGGGCTGGTGTATAATCAGATGCTCAATAGGAAATCGGTCAGAATGTCAACAGCACCAACCTGGGAAGGGATCCCGGACTCAACTGTGAGCGGCAAACCTGCCCTCCTGTGCTACCCACTGCAACACAGCAGTGCTCCATTCAACTAAATACTTAACACCCAGGGAGTGAGTTACAGACTGGAATCTAACTGAAGGGTTCGTGGTGGTTTATATACAGAATAACAGATACCCCAGGAGGGAGTTACAGACTGGAATCTGATCGAGGGGTTCAGGGGGTATCTATGTAGAATAACAGATACCTGGGGAGGGAGTTACAGACTGGAATCTAATCGAGGGGTTCGGGGTGGTTTAAATACAGAATAACAGATACCCCGGGAGGGAGTTACAGACTGGAATCTGATCAAGGATTTGGGGGTATATATGTGGAATAACAGAGTGTCTGACTGCCTATCCCTGTTTTCCAGTTGGAGTGTTGGGGCCTGGTCTCAGTGCAGTAAGAGCTGTGGACGGGGAATTTACCATCGACAGGTTCTGTGTCGACAGGCGTATGCCAACCGCACGGTGGCAGTTCACCCACGTCACTGTGCCCACCTGGAGAAACCAAACACCACCCAACCGTGTGAGACCCGACCATGTACCCACTGGCAGATCCAAACAGACTGGGAATCGGTAATTACAGCAGCAGACATGGGATTGGTTCCCCCGGTGTACCATTCCCTATCCTCACCCCCTCCCTATCTCCGCCATCTCCTCCGGCCCCCTGCACCCCCTCCCTATCTCTGTCACTTCCTCCAACATCTCTGCACTCCTCCAATCCCGGCCTCTCGAGCAGCTCCCGATTCCCATTGCTCCGGCACTGGGGATCGTGCCTTCAAGTTGCCTGGGGAGGTGCCTAAGCCCTCCACTCTACATCCCTTCAGGTGCTCAATCAAACATCCTGTTTGATCCACATGGTCCCCCCACCTTCTCTCCCACTCACTGCGGGATTGAGTTCCCCATCCCCATCTCCTCACCCCTGCTCCCCTGCCTCCCGCCTCCCCCCCCCACCACCACCACGGCAACTCCATGTGGTGTGGGGATCCTCGAGTCTTGCAAGGAGCACCCTGAGGTCTCCCTGCCCTGCATGTCTTTCCCCTGTCACTGGGGCCAATCACGCACCCCCTCTTCCACCAAATCCCCTCTGAAGGGCAAGGTATGGACCTCGGGCTCCTTCCCAGCCTGCCTGCCCCCTCCTCATGCCAGTCTGTCCGTGCCCACAGTGTTCTGTGCCGTGCGGAGTGGGACAGAGGAAGAGAAGCATCCGCTGTGTCAGCAACCAGGGCAACGTGGTCGGCGAGGGAGAATGCAGCGCCAAACAGAAACCCACCGACAGTGAGGCCTGTGACATGGGCCCCTGCGTGACCAGCTGGTTCTACACAGACTGGAGCAGCAAGGTAAGCTGGGGGCTGGAGGAGCGGGCACCAGGAGATGGGGGTGTAGGGGGCTAGTTGGCTGGGTGCACTCATTCCACAGTCACTTTGTCAGATCTTCACACCGATGCCCCTTAGTTTTACTGAACATACTGGAAACTCGACACCATCCAGGAAAAAGCAGCCCCCGCTTGGATTGGCACCACATCCGCAAACACCCCGTCTACAAGATGCAGAAATTCACCAAAGATCCTCAGGCAGCACCTTCCAAACCCACGGTCACCTCTATCCAGAAGGACAAGGGGCAGCAGATCAATGGGAATGCCCCCCCCCCCCTCCAAGTTCCCCTCACCATCCCGACTTGGAAATATGTCCCCGTTCCTTCAGGGTCAAAATCCCGGAATTCCCTCCCTAAGGGGCATTGCGGGTCAACCCACAGCAGGTGGACTGCAGCGGTTCGAGAAGGCAGCTCACCCCCACCTTCTCAAGGGGGGCAATTAGAGACGGGCAATAAATGCTGGGCCCAGCCAGCTACGTCCCCGATTGAGCTCGTTTCCAATTCCAGATTTTCAGGATTGAATTTAACTTCGGCCAGGGGCCGTGAAGGGGGTTGAACCTGTGTCCCTGGGAAAATTGAGTCCTGGTCTTGGTATTCCTGAGGCTAACCTCCCTGCCATGTTTCCCTGTGAGGTGGATGTTGAGCTGTTGATTGTTGACCTGATGAGGAGGGACATGAATCTCCCCATCTTGGAGGTGGGGGGTGAGCTGAGATGGCTGGCAGTAGCTCCCCAAGGAGGAAGGGGAAGGAAGGCCTCACTCCTGGAGAAATGAGAGAAGAGTCACCCAGGGGCTTGGGTCCTCCTGCGCAGGGGTCTAGTGGAAAGGCTGGTGATGGGGTTCACGGATGGGGGTTTGGAAACTGCACCCCCTGCAGGGTACAGAGGGGATGATCTCCCAAGGTCGAGGAACGTCTGTGGTAGATGGAGAGGAGGATCTCTATTTCCCATTGGCGGGTGGTTGGGCATTAGGGTCAGGATTGGGGACAAGGGAAGGGTTGGGAGGAAATGGAGGGAGGGGAAGAGGAGTGGAGATGTATGGGGTGTCGGAGGTTGAGGGAGTGATAGAATCTGCTGGGATGAGGTCTCCCAGGGGTTTGATGGGTGGGGGTGTGTGTTCGGGAAGATGTCATTGTCAGGGTTGAGGAGCATGTCGTTGGGAGATGGAGGGTCCCCTGTGTGTCTGTGAGCGTGTGTGTGTTGTGGGGGGGAGGGGGCAAATGAGGCTGGGTGATTCTCCCATGGGGCTGGGGTTGACGATCGGCGGGGAGGAATGGTTTGTCCCAGTGGGATGGGGGGGGCACTCTTTTCCCTGAGAGGGTTCCTACTAATGCACCGTGTTGACTGTTTCCTCCCCTTGCGGGGACACCCTCCCCTGTTCTCCCTGGGCTCTCCCACCCTCTCTCCTTGTGTTCCCCACCTCGGGCTCTCGCTCCCTCCCCCTTTCCCCCGCTCCCCGGGCTCTCCCTCCCTCCCTGTTTCCCCCGGCTCTCCCAACCCCCTCCCTGTTTCCCCCGGCTCTCCCAACCCCCTCCCCGTTTCCCTGCCGGGCTCTCTCTCTCTCCCCCCATGCCTTGGCTATGCTGTGTTACAGTGCTCAGTGGACTGCGGTCTCGGGATACAGAAGAGGTCTGTTGTCTGTTTGAACAACGACATTGGGGAGCACTCAGCGGGGAGCTGCGAGGGTCCAAGACCCCCTGACAGCAGGGCGTGTACCCGGCCACACTGCCCCCGGCAGGTCCAGTGGTACGCCAGTCCCTGGAAGCAGGTGAGTGCCTCGGGGCAAGGGGCATGGATTGGTTAGGACGGTATTCACTGGGGTTTAGGGGGGAGGAATGGTGGGATCCCGTAGGAACCTACAACATTCCAACAGGGACTAGACAGCGTCATTGCAGGAAGGATGTTCTCAGTGACCCGGGGATGGGGGGTTAGGTGAGAGATCAGAACCGGCCGGGGCAAAATGGGGTGGGGTGGTGATGACAGTCTAAAGGAGATGGGCTGGGGCTGAGATGAGGAGAAACGTTTTCGCCCAGAGAGTGAGGGAGCCTGTGGAATTCTCCACCACAGGAAGCTGTTGGGGCTAGAACATTGAATGAGGTGACAGAGATAGGGAGGGGGGTGTAGGGGGCTGGAGGGGGCGGAGGGAGGGGGTAGGGGGAGCCGGGGGAAACAGGGAGGGAGGGAGAGCCCGGGGAGCGGGGGAAAGGGGGAGGGAGCGAGAGCCCGAGGTGGGGAACACAAGGAGAGAGGGTGGGAGAGCCCAGGGAGAACAGGGGAGGGTGTCCCCGCAAGGGGAGGAAACAGTCAACACGGTGCATTAGTAGGAACCCTCTCAGGGAAAAGAGTGCCCCCCCC